CAGCATCATGGATTAATAAATTTTAATATTTTGGGCAACATTAATAAGTAGTTTTGTGTTTTTTATTTCTTTTCTTACACTTACTTCAAGCAAAATGTTTCATCAGCCCCTTTGGAGACAGGTGTCACCCTTGGTCCCCCTTCTCCTAGCCCCTCCTTACCCAGAACACTCAATGCTAATTAACAGCTGTTTAATTATCAGCCCAGCAGGAAAGTGATCATGGCCCAGGTCCTGGGAAAGTCGTACCCTCCTTTAAGCTGTCCCAGATACTGGAAGGTTGACTGTTGCGTGCCCTTAGGGAAAAGCAATGCGGCTTAGTAGAAAGTTGGTAACATCTAGAATCCGTCAACCTCAGGGATTCTGCCATGTTTTTGAACTGTTGGACAATAGTTTCTGAGTCTCCATTCCCTCAAGTGTAATAATACTCACCCCACAGGTCTGTTGGGAAGATAATGGTAATGAAAGTGCCTTGCTAACTATAAAACAGTCTGCAAATGTGGGGGATATTTTCTGCTCTGTCTTGGTGTGGTCCATAACTRGCATATTGCCGACACACACAAAACATCTGTTGACTAAGAAATTCCAGATATGGAGCACTGGAAGGGGCCCAGGCAGATAGGATGGCTTGAGTTACATTGGTCACATAAACCAAACTAAGATTTCAAAGTTGAACCAGAATTGTGTACTATCCATCTGTTCATTTCCAACAAAAATAATACCGGGTAATAAGCACTCCTGCTCTTCCATATTTTTCATTATTTTTTTATTTGTACTCATATTTATGTTAATGATGCAGTTTGCAGAAGTATTCTGAGACTAAATACTGCAGTGAAAGGTACGTTATTTTTTCAGAAAGGGAAGAAGCTCTAATTAAGCTGTGTGTGCATCATTGGAATCACATCTAAATGGCAGTAACAGACATCAGACATGAAAGGTTAAAATTGAGAAAGAAGAGAAAATAAGTCAGGGGAATTTTAGTTATCATGCTAGKAACATGGTTTAGACACTAAAAAATACTTCTGGGCACTTCTCTGATGGTATAAGAGCTTCACCAGACAGAATTGTAACACTGAAATCTTCCCCATATGTCTTTAAAAATAGTTTATAACCACATCTCTGTTCATAATAATTTCAATCGTAATAGGAAACAATCCAACTGACCATAAGAAAGAAATAGTTGGACAAATTATAGTATAAGTCTCTTTGGGTGTATAGAAATCAAAATATGATGACTATATAGTAGAACATTAAAATTCATGCGGTAAGATACACAGTAAATAAAGAATACACAGTTTTATCTATAGTATGATTATGATTACGTATTAATGTGAATTAGGATTAAATTAGAACCCAGAGGGCTGGGGATGTGGCTCAAGTGGTAGCGCGCTCGCCTGGCATGCGTTTGGCCCGGTTTGATCCTCAGCACCACATATAAATATGTTGTGTCCGCTGAAAACTAAAAAATAAATATTTWAAAAAATTCTCTCTCTCTCTCTCTCTCTCTCTCTCTCTCTCTCTCTCTCTCTCTCCTCTCTCTATCTTAAAAAAAAGAAATTAAAAAAATTAGAACCCAGAAAAATAAAAATAATAGGGTTGCATGGTATCATAAAAAGTGTTCTCCAGTTATTTGTATGCAAAATATGAAAAATATATATTTATAAAGGTGTTCATCTCTTTTGAAATATAACCATGATCTTCACTGAGGACAGAAAGATAAATTAATAGACTTAGAAAACCTTTTCCAGTGTCATAATTTCTAAGTTCCTGAGCTGCAAGGTGGTATCCAGAGACTGCAGCATTCCAAAGCATGACTGATTTCCATTAAAATCTCATTTATGAAATTAAAAAATTAATTTTATGAAAATGAACTAAAGTAATCTTTTCATTAGAGGACACTTGGTCTAATTGAGTTTGGAATGATTGTAATAGAACATTCCTGCACTGATATTTAAAAAGATGAAATCTGGTGCAAGTCTTTCTGTTCTTGGGCATCTGGGAAACAACATATAGATGAGATTTTTCAAATTTCTACACTGATGCTCTTGTTTCCTGAAAATCCTGGCAAGGAAAGGTGCTATCTCAGGGAAATGACTCATGGCAATGAATCCAATATAAGGAGAATACCTCAATGGAAGCTAGCCAGTCTCCCTTTAATGAGTAGAGCCAACAAAGCCCTCACTGTGGAACCCACAAAGGAAGATGCCATGACTGAATTCAGGCTCCTTCCTTCCCAAACTAAAGGAACACTCTTGTTTAAATACTTGCTTCCACAGTAAAAGAAGGTTTCAGGAGATGCATGCTGTAATTATCTTTCCAGATTGAAATCTATGCATTTATTTAGGCATTTCAAATGTCCTACATTAATGTATATGCACATGCACACACATACGTATTCTGTGGCAGCTATGAGAATATGCCCTGCAGACCTCTGGCTTCAGGGAGAAGAACTGACCAAGGACTCCAACTGCTGCACTCTGAAATCTATCACTTCCCATAGCTGCTCCTGGCCAGTTACTGAGCCAGGAAAGGATACTAAGGCAGGCCCATCCCTCAGAGACCCAGCATTCCTCTAACAGTCAAATTAGAATCTTCTGCAGTCTTGTCAAAGTTTCCTTAGGTGGCAAAGTTTCCTTAACTATAGTCAAGGATATAGTTAAACAACTGTTCACTCTTTCCTTTTCTTGGGGTCAKACTTACAACAAAGTTTCTTATCTTTTCTCTCCTAATTAAATTCTTCTACATTTCATTCCATCTTGGCATCTGCTTCTTTTTTTTTTTCAATTTGGAAAGTTTTATAAGATAATAYTTAGAACAGTACATGAAGGATATTATCATTTGGGGAGATAAAAAGAACAAATAATTACTTCTTTTTTATTTTTTTTATTGTTGGTTGTTCAAAACATTACATAGTTCTTGATATATCATATTTCACTGCTTCTTAATGGTGGTGATGTTGATGGTAGTATATGTATGTATGTAATTTTTCTTTTTTTTTTTTTTTGGTACCAGGGATTGAACTCAGGGGAACTCAACTACATCCCCAGCCCCTATTTTGTATTTTATTTAAGAGAAAAGGTCTCATTGAGTTGCTTAGCACCTCACTTTTGCTGAAGCTGGCTTTGAACTCATTATCCTCCTGCCTCAGCCTCCCGAGCATCTGRGATTACAGGCCACCACGCCCAGTTCATATGTGTAACTTATATACATGATTTTTATATATTTATAAGTACATATACATATATGCATATTTGAATCAGAATTGGTCTTCATTTGATGGACATGACTTTATCTGCTCTACACATTATAAAACTACCCACCCAAACATTTTTAAAATTATTTCACTATTTCTTTGGAGGGAATTTTTTTAAAGCCATGCCACTGTGAATGTCTCTTTTGGAAATAATCCAAGAACTTACAGAGCCAATGTCACACGTAACACTCTTTTCTTACATGTAGAGAATTTCTGACAGTTAGAATTTTTCTAGGAAAAAAAAAATGTACCCAGGACTTCATGGGTAGGTGTGCAAATCGAAAGAGTGAGGAACTCATCTTCCCCAAGTTCTTCTACAGTCCAGGGCAATACTGGAGGGAAGAGTTTTTGTTTTTAATATTTTTATTGGTGCACATTAAATCATACAGAATAGTGGGCTTCATGACGCCATATTTTTATAGGCATGTAACATAATTTGATCAATTTCATTCCACAATACCCCCAGCCACAAGGGATCTCTTTATTCTTCTCTTCCAACCATCACTCTTGACTTGGCCCCTGCGGCCTCACTCTCATCCCATATCAGTTAGGGTTATTGACTGCATGCAGAAGATATCAGGGACTCACAATCAATGGGCAGCTGAAGAATCAGTCTTGGAAGAGTTTTGGGGTGGGTCTGCGAAAACTATAATCAGGATCCTTTTACAGGTAAAGTCTGGTGAGTGAACCTCTGGAATAAGTGGACTCCCAGGGCTCCTTGCCCTTGCATCACTTTCTGAAAATTCAGAGAGAGAGAGAGAGAGAGAGAGAGAGAAAGCCATGAATGACTTGTGAGACTTAGGGAGTTCTCAGTGTCTTTAGAGTAGTCAGATGCCTAGAATTTTACTCCCACCAATACTAATGGATTTGAGGAAGTCCCCTCAATTACTCTGGGGATAGCTAGGAAAATGAATGTGTACCACAAATTATAATAAAAATAATAATAAATATCCAGCACACACTTTCATACTGGTGCCTACTCCTTGTGTCATAGATGGTCACACTGGCCACAACTATTGAATGATAAAGTAGTGAATGCCTAAATGAGAGAGTTTCCTGATTCGGACAAAGCTTCACCATGGCCAGGAGCCTGCTTGAACCAACTCGGATCCTAAATTTAATTTCCATTCATGACCTTGGGGTTCTATCTGACTGTCCAAAAATGAAATGTCAATACAAGGACAGCAGCACCATGCATGAATTTACTTTCAAAGGTCTCTTACTTACCTTCTAGAACTCTGCTGTTCTGGCTCTCCAACAGGTAGGTTTTCTTTTGTTTAGTTTTGAGGTTTTGATTTTTTTTTTCCTTTTGACTGACTCCCAAGTGTGATAAACAGTACCATCAACAAATGCAAAGGCTAGGAAGCCCTCCAGAAATGTGAGTGGTGCAGTTCCCAATCTCTGCCTCCCTGAATCCACATCAATCTCCTTTCTTTAAGAGATATATTCTGTTGTTTTCTTTTATTTCACTTAGTGACCCTTACCTCTTTATCTTCCTTGAGAATACTTTTCTCCATCTAATTCTAATCTTAAGATACTCCACTTTGAGACCATCACCAAGGCCTGTTTGTTCAGTGCAACCACAAGTAAATGCTCTTGGGAAATAATCGTGAAGTGAGAGTTACATGAGGTGAACTTCCTTTTGCTGAGGAAAGATTTTTTTTAAAGTCATTTACAAATGAAAATTGAATCCATGGGAATGAATTCCAGAAAAGGGTGTTTGGGTAATTTATCAGCATTGTCATTCCAGGTAAAGATGGCCTTGCAACAGGAAGGATTTGACCGAAAAAAGCGAGGATACAGAGACATCAACGATATTGACATCAACATGAATGATCCTCTTTTTACAAAGCAGTGGTATCTGGTAAGGGTCTCTCTTGTTGAAATTCTGCATAAAAGATATATTTCTATTTCCTTATTATCCAGTGGGATCTTACCAGCATCTGGTGCAATGCATTATTTTCTCTCACTGCTAGGCATCTCATCCCCTAATCTGCTTTCTTCCTGAACTGCTAAGTAGCAATCATCTTCTAAGGTCAAAGCTACTCCCAACAGCTGAGCATATTCTTCCAGATGCCAAAAAAAAGGACACCCTTATGTGAATCAAGACTTGCCAAAATATATACCAGTCAAATCTAAAGTGTGGGAAGAATAATCCAGGGATCTCAATAGGTAAAGTAATGAGAGGACACAACAAAGTCACTGGCAAAAGGTAAAGAACCTGGTGACTTCACAAGGGGTGAACAATACAGCCCAGAGACTAATGTAGCAAAACAGCATCTCTTAGTGCTTCYTAAACAATGGCAGCAAATCAATTCCATGAGGTTTAATTGATGCAGAACTTGAGGCATTGAAATTCAATCTGTCGGATGAAGTGAATATTTTCTGGCTCACCAACAGTCTGCCATGATCCATGTGGATTGGTTGGGTCATATTTAAAAGGAGATCAGAGACTCTAAACCAACCCAAACTGTAGGGCATGCTTTTGTAAAGAGAGTGGCTAATTTATAAATATAAATGGAGCTTTGTTTTATTTAAAATATGTTAAACAAGAGAGAAAATTAAATTACAGTCCTATGGATGGCTACATCACAGGAATGCATCACAGTTTCCCTCCTGGAGCTTCAGAGCTTGACTATGTATATGCCTTATGGTTTAGAGCATGGAATATTGAAAGTCCAATCTGGAATTGGATGAGTTTATTATATTAGAACAGGTTAGGTTTGTCACAGTAACAAACAAATCTCAAATCAAAGATTGTGTCTCATTCTTGCTACATAATTAATGTTTCATAATCCTTCAGGGGCTCAGGATGACCAAGCACAATCTAAATTCCATCCTCACTGCTTTTATAAGCACCTCAGCAAGGAAAGGGGGCAAATTATGCATTATCTCTTATGGCTTCTGCCTGGAGGTGGCAAACAGCACAAGAGCTCACATGCCATTAGCCAAAACCAGTTACATGGCCATTATAACTTCAAAGGATGTGTAGCATATAGTTTTAACCTGTGCCTGGAAGGAGAATAGCAGTAACTTGTATGAAGAACACTAATGCAACTCACACAATGTCTCAATAATACCAGAACAGCATCAATCACTGTGGGCTTTTGCCAGTACAAACTCTTACTTCAGTACTTTTTCTTTTTACAAACCATCTTTGAGAAAATCTTGCACAAGACAAAGATTCAGGAAAAGAGAGCAGTGAACATATTAATGTGGAATTTTTCTTCATCTCTCATTTCTTTTTAAATTTTGTGAAGGCTTTATCTGTATTAGAACATTGTACTAAAGGTGACCCACCTATCTAATTCAGTTCAACAAATATTTTTGAGCAAGACTTGGTATGATGGTACTAAATTTTCAAAGGATGTGCAAAAGATATTGTTTTTTGTGAGGTAAATTATATCTAAATAAGAATAAACCAAGACGGTGTGTGCTGTATTCAAAATGYGAAGTATACACAAAGAGCTATGATACTAAGCATTTAATTCTGTCTCAAGGAGGGTTTCTTGCAATGAAAACTCTAAACATGTTACATAGAATGAGCTTGAAGACAGCCATCTAGTTTAAGAGATGACAGATATGAAACATCATTTGCATATTTACATAAAACAGAAAACATCAATTGTTTATATGAAAAAATAGAGAGGGAAGGCTGTAAGAGATGGAGGGGGCACCCAAAAGTACTGTTTTATGGAAGATGTGGCCCTGATGCTGGCCCTAGACTATCACATGGCTGCAGAGAACATCAAACAAATTACATGTGTGCTTTACAACACCAGCCTAATAAGATTCTCTGCTTTGGTCTGGTACAGATCAACACTGGGCAAGCAGATGGTACACCAGGGCTTGATCTGAATGTGGCAGAAGCCTGGGAGCTGGGATACACTGGGAAAGGTGTGACCATTGGAATTATGGATGATGGTGAGTATTTTGAAGCCTTTGCGTCATTTGGAAGCAAGTGTGTCTTTGCATGCCTTCAGAATATAAAAGATTTATTGTTTGGGGAAATGCTAATAGGAGACAGAATCAGCCTCTCTGATACTCGGCCTGATGACCATACTTCACTGTGACCAAATCTTCACCTTACTCCAAATCCGTGGTCTTTAAACCTGATGACACCCTTAACAAATATTGTTTTCAATTAATAAATAAGAGACTAAATAAACAACACCTACCTGTCATTCAACCATAATTTCTTATTGGGCTACAGTTTATACCTCATCTTAAAATGTCTTCTCAATCTATTTATATTTACTATTTTTTAGAGCCACACTATCCAATGTAGTAGACACTAACTACATACATTTAATACTAAATTAGTTCAAGCTAAATAAAAATTCAATTCTTTAATCACACTCAGTTCACTTCAAGTTTTGTTTGATTTTTTGTTTTGTTTTGTTTTGTTTTGTTTTGATTTTTATGGTTCTGAGGATAGATTCCAGGGCTAGGCAAGCACTATACAACTGATCTAATCCCCACCCATCATTTCAAGTTCTTAATAGCCACACAGATTAATTCAGCTGCTGAAATTTAGTTCAATTCTATTTCCATCATCACAAAAATTTCCTATTAGACAGGATGCTTCTGGATTCATGAAATAGCTTTTTAGCAACAGAATCAGGGTTTGGCAAAATTTGACTTCAATACTACTTTCAGAATGAGCCCTTGAATACATTTCATTACAGATAACCACCACCCCCCCTTTATTATTCTATCCTGAATGTCTTCCAGACAAAGACGTAACAGAACTTCATTTTTTTTAACTTGAAAACTTTCATTTCTGTGGTATTGAAACCCATGAGTTGGAGGAATTGGTGATTTTCCAACTACACATGTCCTTGACTCCACTAAAATTCTGTAGAATCACCGTCTTTTCACTGGGAACATGCTTCTGTCCTTCATCAGCCAACCAAGCCCCCCAGTAAAAAGCTCCACTGTGCATTATTGGTCTCATCACATACAAAGGCTGCACGGAGATGAAACAATAGAGCCTTTCCTTTCTGCAGATCCTCAAAGAACACGATGTTGACTAATGCAAGGCTTTGAAGCAGAATTGATGGGGAAAACAAGGGAAGCCAGTGTGCTTAAAATCTGTGTTATCTTTGTCAGGGTTCATTAAATACCAACACAACAACAATGCCTCCGTATTTTCTGATGTGTGAGATGTTTTGAAGTGGATGTGAAAGCTTTCTCTCCAGTGGCTGAGGGCTCTCACAAGAAGAAAGGAGGTCTTGCACATGTCAGGCAAGCACTCTACCACTGAGCTACTCCCCAGCCCATTATTTCAAGAGGGTACATGGACCGATGTCCGGAGCTTTTGAGTGTTTTTGTTGTTTTGTTTTGTTTGTTCCTAACACCTTGGCTTAAAACCTTTCCAAAGCATTTGAGGTCAGCTCCTCCAGGAACAGAGGCATCTAAGTTTGGGGGAAACCTTCACAGTATATATGGGGATGGCTAACTCCAATAGTACCAAGCATCCTTTACTGGAGATCAGAGAGTCCTCCCTAAAAGTGGTGCTACAATGACAGCACATGCACATTGCTCTTCTGAAACCTTGACCAACAGATGCCTGTTTCAGATTTATTTACTGTAGCCCCCGCCTGACAGTTAAGTCATCCCTTCCCGAGTGGAGAAGACAATGGCTCCTGACGATCGCTAAACCTTGTAGAAAGTCCCAGCAGAATTTCTTGATTAATCTTATTTCTTCTGAAGATTAGTKGTCTTTGGGACCTCCCCCCCCMAAAAAAAAGATGATTAGTCTGTCCCCCCTCCAACTAAAACTCCTGATATCTCCATAATTTTGGTCATCTATTGCTGCAAAATAAACCACACCAATTTGAATGACTTTTTTTTAATTACTGTTTATCACAGTTCTGTGGGATGATAGGGCACAGGTGGATAGTTCTGCTAAGGTCTCACTGGGGTCTCTCATGCAGTTGGAGTCAGAAAGTTACTGGGGCTGGAGTCCACTGGAGACTCAACTGGGATGTTGAAATGGCTCAGCCTCTCTCTTTTTCCATGTAAGTCTCAGGGCCTCTCCTTTCTATGTGGGGTCCCCAGAAAGGTAGCTGGATTTTTTTGGTAGGTGGCTCATGACTCCTAAAGAAAATGTTCCGAGCAGAAGGGGAAGCTGCCAGTCCTCATAAAGGATGGACCTGGAGTGGGCATGCGTCACTCTGCCACTTTTGCTGGGTGACTAGTCACAGGGCAGCCCACATTCTAGGGAAACAGGCTCTGCCTCCTGGTGCAGAGAGACAGTGGATTGGTGGCCATCTCTAATTCACCACATGCTTAGTGAGCATTACGTAGGAAAGAACAATGACCAAGCCATTCTCCAAATCCACTGTTGAGTAGCAAGTTGAGCACTTTGGGGACAAGAACAGCCTCCCACACAACCAGGCCAGGTACTCGGCAGCCTCTCATCATTGGGCATCTCTGCCCTAACACCCAGAAGTGGGAAGATTGGAAACACCAGTGCCAAATTTTCTTTCTTAACTGCCTGCATGGGTGAAGGGAACAGTAGTGTTTCCCAGACATTCCCAGATTAAAGATGGAAACAGATGGTGGAACCTGCCTGTAATCTCAGCTACTCAGGAAACTGAGGCAAAAGGATGGCAAATTCGAGGCCAGCCTGGGCAACTTAGGGACAGCCTATCTCAAAATAAAATTTAAAAAAGGGCTGGGGCTATGGCATGAACATAGTTAATATACAGAGAGATAAAAAATTGTGCCCTGTATGTGTAATAAGAATTGTAATGCTTTCCACTGCTGCCATGTATTTAAAAAAATATATATTTAAAGGGCTGAGGTTGTAACTCACCTGTAGAGTGCCCTAGGGGTTTATCCCAGAACCCCTGCTAAAAAAAAAAAAAAAAAAAAAAAAAGACTGCTACAGATGCTATCCCTGATAGATAAGAGAAAAAAATCATGTAGGGCGTTATAAACATTGGTTATATATTTTGGCCTGAATGGCAAATGTTCATTTATCTGCATGTGGAAGGTTCAATTTGTAGGCAACCCAGGTTTTTTTTCTTCTACCTTTCTTCTACCCTATGATCTCCCTTCAATTTTCATGAGATTTCTCCCCCTCCTTTTTCTCCTTTTTTATTTCCTCTTTAACTCTCACATGTGAGAGAAAACATATGACCCTTGACTTTTCTGAATCTGGCTTATTTTCCTTAACTTAATGTTCTTCAATTCCATCTATTTTCCTGCAAAGGACATAATTTCATTCTATGGCAGAATAAAATCCCATTGTGTATGTATATAGCACATTTTCTTTATCCATTCATCCATTGACACTTACCTAGATTTTTGGTTCCATAATTTGACTATTATGAATTGTGCCAAGCCAGTCTTGATAGCCATCTACCTCTCTCTGATTGCCAACCTCAAAGCTCAGTCATCACCCCCTCTTGTCAGATCTAGTGATTTCATAAATGCTCATAAAATGTCTTCTACCTTTGCTTAGGAACAATGCAATGTCCTTTCCACGTGCTACACAGCACTGAGAGGGTGCTGCTTAATTAGCTGTTGCTCAAAGGGGCAGAAAGCATTTCTTAAGGGTCTGCTAGGACATTCCAAGCATGAAAATGTCAGCCAGGACCCTGTTTAATCATTACAGCTTCATCCCTGTTATTGCAATGAGACTGTTTAGTGTTGGGAACTTGGCCTAGAAAATGGGATATGACCATTTTGAAACCCAGGTATAAACAAAATTCACCCAGACCAGGCACAATTTGGGGCAGGTGATCGGCTCTTGAGATCAAAGACAGTCAGGGAAGGCAGGGATCAAGGCCTTTAGCCAATATCAAATGAAGCAAAGGAAGTAAGATAGAAAGCCAATGAGGCAGGGTCAGAGGGAGCTTCAAGCTGAAGTAACAATAAAACAATTAACAATTGCTTAGTGCCCAGTAAGTGCTAGATACTGCTTAGCATTTTGGAACCCAGCTACCCTTTTTCTAGTCTCTAAGGTTAGTATTATTATTATTATTATCAACCTCATTTTGCAGATGAAGAAATGAGGGCAAGAAATTTCCCAATGTCTCACAACTAATTTTCTAGCACATATTTTGTGCTAAAAACCCACCTATTCGTTCTGCCTTCATGATGAGACTTGGTGAATCCATGTTCATCAGCATTAAAACCTAAGGAACAGAAAGTCTTAAGTCTTAATATTCAAGATATTTAGAACTCTGCAATGTACAAGAAAGCAATAGGAAGGTCAAGTAAGGTGGCTGTTCCAGTGACTATTGCCGCATAACAAATGACTCCAACATGACTCCAACACTCCACAGCTTAAAATAACTACTTATTTTTTGCTCATGATTTTGTGGCACGGGMATTTGAGAAAAGCCTGGCTGGGACATTTTTCACTTAGTATCTCTCCTGCAGTTAAGGTCAATGTTAGCTGGGCTGCAGTCATTTGAAGGCTCAACGGAGCTGGACATTCAATATGGCGTGCTCCCACAGCTGACGGTTGATGCCCTGCCAAGACTGTCAAATAGAGTGCCAACACGTTATATTTTCCTCTAATTTGGTCTCAAGCGCTCTCTCAAAAGAATGGCTATAAATTCTAGCTCACATCAATAGGACTCCAGGGGGATTGGTTGTAGATGTTCACAATGTGCCTGTATCGGTCTGTTCCTGCTGCTTAACAAAATACCTTAGATTGGGCAATTTGTAAACAATAGAAATTTATGTCTCGAGGTTCTGGAGGCTGGAAAGGAAGTCGAAGATTGAGGCACCAGCAGATTTAGTGTCTGGTGAGGGCTCATTCTCTGCCTCCATGATGGTTCCTTGTCACATCCTCCAGAATAGATGAACAGTGTGTCCTCGCGTGGCAGAGGAGCAAAAAAAGGAATAAACTTTCTCCTTCCAGCCCTTTTAGAAGGGCATTAAACCCATTTATGAGGGCAGAG